GGGCTAGATCTGACATAAATGTGACTTTGTCCTGCCGGGCCAGATGTAATGCCAGGTACTGGAGAGCTAAACTTTTTAAAGGACTGCAGCTGGTAAACTCTGAGTTGGTGTGTCCTCACTGCTGGGGGGGGGGGGCAGAGATAAACCAGCATGGGCAGACTGGGGAGCCAGCGGTGCAGTGCTGGGCAGATGCTCACATGCTGCCTGGAGGAGGGGAAACCCCTTCCCCAGCCTGCTCCCACCACAAATGCTGTGAACCCAGGTCCAAGGATAAAAACACGGAAGTGCCTGAGTGTTGCACACTTCCCCCTGCCCCTGAGCCACCATGGAAGGGGACTGGGAAGGCAAGCTGAACTAGCCTCCCTGCCTGCGGAAGTGGAGGGACCAGGGGTCATTTCCTGCAGGAGCGCACAGGAGCGGAGCTCCGGCAGTAAAGAGCCCAGGGGGTGGGCACATGCAACAAGCCCCACCCCCTACTCCCAGCAGCCCTCAGTCAGAGCAAGAAGCAGTCAGGTAAGTTGCAGAGCTCCCCCTGGCCCCCGGTCCAAAACAGTCCAGTGGCACCTTTAAGACCAAGTTTTAATCAGGCACAAGCTCTCCCTCCTCTGCAAGGACAGATCTGCACGTCCCCCCCCCCAATAGCTAGCAATCCAAAACAGTCCAGTGGAGCCTGAGCGGTGGGTGTTGCCTTCTGACACACCTCCGGTGATGTCAGGGTGTGTGGCATATGCAAATGAGTTATGCTAATGAGTTATGCTAATGACTCTTTTTCTACAAAATGACCCCTGGCCGAGGGACTCTAGTCAAGTATAGCACAATAAGACAAAGACACCCGTGTGGGAGCAGCTACCTCCGGCCATAGCGGGGTGATGCTGGGGATTCACGCCAGAGATCGTTGGCAAGCCACGGCATCCCCATGTAACAATAGCCACCCCAGGCCAAAGGCTGCCAGATCATCTGGTAGGGGAGTGGGCACCAGACTCACAAAGCTGTTTTTTGTGGCAGAGGCCCAGCAACCAGTGTAACCGGAGCTCACCAGCACCACCACCCCCACAAGGCGGCAGTCCCCTATGGCTGAAGGCCACTGGGTGATCCATGGGGGAGGGAGGCCCAGCCACCAAGTCACATGCTCGGTGGCAGGACTAGGCCCCTGATGTGTGGAAGAAACTGCTGAAGAACACTTGATTGCTGCAGATGAGGTCCCACCGTGCTGAGGCCAAAATCAGACTGGCTCTGCCTACTCCCTTCAGCAGCCTCCTGCTCCCTTCCTTGCAGCAGTTGCTCATGGGCCAGTTAAGAGCTCTGAACAGGCCAGTTCTAGCCCCCGGGGCCTTATGTTTGACACCCTGCCATAGGGTTTTCAAGGCCAGAGGCTCAGGGGTGGTTTGCCATTGCCTGCCCCTGTGTAGCAATCTTGGCCTTCCTTGATGGCCTCCCATCCAAGTATGAGCCAGGGCTGACCCAGGTGAGCTTCCAAGATCTGATGAGCGCAAGCTAGTCTGTGTTATTCAGGCTGCTAAATATTCGGCTCTAAAAAGTATTCAAGAGAAGGGGAATCCAGATTGGTACACAGCACCAGGAAACAAGGGCCTCCTTACACCATTTTCCAAACTGAAAATGGCCCTTCTGAGCTGCTTCAGATTCAAGCAGAGCGAGAGAAGACCTGATCTGTGTCTCTCCCTCCCTACCCCAGGGCTTGAAGCAGCTGAAGTGTGTGTGTGGAGGGGATTTTCCATTGTGGAAAAGGCAAAGAGTTAACTTCCCTGTCCACCACACCATGACCTCAAGCAGTGCTACACTAGATGGATTGGGACTTTACACTGTAAACCTGATAACAGAGCTTGTTTGTTTTTTAAAAATATTTACGAGTACAGCCTTGTCATGGTAGATGTAAAGTACTGGGTTCGCACATGGAGACTCAGACTACGACATGCTAACTAGACGTGTTTATTGTACTTCACAACAAGAGAAAAACACACGGCCCGGCAAGGGCCAACTATATACGCTCCACCCGGGCACACCCACAGTTCCATTGGGGGGGGGGGGGGTCCCTATTGTGTTTGGAACCAAGCTAAGGACTGAGGCCGCCGACCGCTGGTGGCGGCCCACGGACACAACAGTAGATGATATATCATAAGAAAAACAAATCAACTTCAAGCACTAATATTACATGAGCCTCTTCATTTGGTTTCTTGCTGTAAAAACTGTCAGAAGAGGCAAACTGTATAGCTGTCATCTGCACCTGCAGTGACTGGAAACTTGGGGGGGGAAGTCAGCCGGGATGGACTTTGGTTAGGTCCATAATAATTATAGACGGGATCTATCTCAAAGCATTCTTTTAAGAATAAAGGTTTGAAGAGCCTGCCAGCACCTGTAACAGTCACCAGCTGCTGGTGGTGTGCATACAACTTTCTTTGCCCTTTGCTCATATTTGACTCTGTGACTTCCTTTCTACTTTCCCTTCTCAAGGGAATTTCCACACCTGTGACCTACTTCTCTCAAAGTGGTGCTTCTCGTAACTAATGTGCGAGCTTATTGCTACTTTTTAAAAAATCTAATTTGTGTGCACACTTCATTTTTACTCCCCAGAAGATTCAGTGTCAAAGGCATGGGAAAAAATTCTGCCCTCCAAGAAGTCCATTTTTTGTTTCTGCATCAATTGGTGGTCTGGGCATGCTTCCCATTTGGAAAGAGGCACACCAAGAACAATGAAGTTGTGTTATTCTTTAACATGCTCCAGGATTGTTTGATTCTCCTACCACTCTGGAATTATGATCAGGGCAATAACTTATGGGGAGACGCAATACAGAGACTCCCCCGGGGGGAGGGTATACTTCTGCTGTATGCATACATCCAGTGTCACTGAATGCTCTAGTGCAGGGGTCCACAATGACTAAGGAAAGGGTTGGTGCTTCCAGACCTCCTGGCCCTATAATGGCTGCAGCAGCTACTTCATTTTAATAAGAGCAACCAATAACAAGCCCCACCTTATAATGGCCCACCACTTTCTGCAAAGCTCGACAAGCACCACATTTGGGTAACCCTGCTCCATTCATACCCAGTGCAGTGATGGGGCAGAATAAAAGCTGTCTGGGAGGAAATGTAACTGGACAGTAACTCATGCAGAGATGCAAAAAGAAGCTCCTTTGGGCTCTCTGACAGAAATGCTCCAATTATGGGGCAGAATCAAAGTTGACTGGAAGAATGCATGACTAAACATCCCACTCACTTCAGCCAAAATGAATGGAGATATGGACAAAATTACTGGACTCCTGAGTCTGAAAGGAGGAAAATTCAGAGCAACCACTCACACAGAGACACAGCAGTGTCCGATGAGGGGTTGGGTATCCTGGGATCATCAGAACCTGGACTGTTTTAAGTTGATTTCTCATTCTCAATGCTCAGTTGCTGTTTTCTCAGGATACTGCAGCAGGAACTTTGCAAGCAGTGGTCACCTAAGCCTATCCTACACCTCGTTGGTTACAGGAAAGTAAGTCCTGGAGGAAGGATGCAGGAGAAGAAGGCAGACCATAGCACTTTGGGAAAGGATCATGTGCTGCAGTACTCCCCAGAAACATAACTGGCCCACCAAACTAAGAGAGAGGATGTAGAGCCATTCTCCTGCAGACAGTGCTAGCTTCCTATCTGCATGAATATAAAAAGGTAAAGGTTTCCCGTGCTTGAAAGCCAGTCGAATCCGACTCTAGGAGGTAGTGTTCATCTCCGTTTCCAAGTCAAAGAGCCAGTGCTGTCAGAAGATGTTTCCGTGGTCATGTGGCCAGCATGACTAGACGCCAAGGCGCATGGAACGCTGTTACCTTCCCACCGAAGTGATACCTATTTATCTACTTGCAATTTCTTGCTTTCGAATGGCTAGGTTGGCAGGAGCTGGGGCCAGAGACGGGAGCTCATTCTGTCACCCGGCACTCGGGTCTCAAATTACCGAACTACAAACCTTCCAGTCCACAGCTCAGCGTTTTAACCTCTGAGTTACTGTGGCCAGCCAAATCACAGCAAAAATAAAGAAGAGTCTGGGGGCAGTTTGAACACGTATTCTACCATCAGATGCACGCAGTATTACATACACACTAGGCAGACGTTGATAGATTAGGCTATTAAGACTGGAAAAAAGTAGGGTCCAATGGTCATGCAAAGAGTAATATAATTTTGTAACAGTGCTATGAAAATACAGAACCCATTCACAGCAGCAGCAAGTGGTGATAATGCAAGGTGATTCTAGTCCCAGAAGGCTTGTGCAGTCTAGAATAAAAGTCTTTAAGGTGCTATTCCTGTTTTTGGTGCAGAAGGGCTACTCTTCCGGAACAATTCCCCCTATTTTGCGAACCTAATTAACGCCTGGGGAGTCCCAAGGTCTTGAAATATGATGTCAATCTTCTTGATGAGGTTGGGGGGTGGCCAGCGTTTAAATAAATTAATTATAATAAATGTTCGATAATAAAGAGAATAAAAATGGTGACTAGCACCGACCTGTAAGCCGCTCAGAGACCCCGTAGACAAGGGGGTTTGGGCGGGATATAAAGTCGAATGTAAATAAATAAATATACACACAGCACACTATAAATTGCTATTCCCAAACTGTCCAAATCATTTTCCAATTCATCTGACAGTCTAATCGACAAACCCTATTTTGAAATCTCATAAGAAAACACGTCATTTCCCCGGCCTGTTTCCATTCGGCATGGACTTAAAAACAAACGCGAACGGCGCCTTCGGATCTGAAATCCTGCAGTAACTTTCGGCCGAAGCGGCCCGTTTCCTTCTGCAGCCTCCAGGCCACGCGACTGCCCTCGAGCCCTGCCTCTGCGTGCAAAACCTGCCCCGCCGCGCGCGCGATCCAAAGGAGCTGGCGGCTGCTCGCCATTGGCCGGACGGCTGGAGCACGTGGCCCCGGGAGTCATCGGCCGCAGGGGGGAAAAAGAGGGGGCGGAGAGAGCGAGTCAGCTCGGGCTGGTCTGAGTCATTCGCTGACTCTCGCAAGCCGTCGACGGGAGCAAAACACGAGCCGGCTGGGCGAGCAGGCAGAGCGGGACTGGACGGGAGCGTCATGAAGGACTCCGGCGCCTCGGTGCTCTGGCGGAGCGCGTCCCTCGCCCTCTGGCTCCTGGCGGCGGCGGCGAGAGGTCAGTGGGCGAGAGGGGGCTGCGCGGCACTGCGCTCCGCTGGACGGGTGGAGGGTGAAGAGCCTCCCCCGACTCGCTCGAGGGAGCCTCCCAAGGAGGGCCAGTAAAGCAGCCGCTTGCCCTGCGGGTGGGGTGGGATGGGGCGGTGGCGGCAGGGCGGTGCATTCTCCGCTGTCTCGGGGGATGGAAGTCAGAGGGGTCTCTGCCGTAAAGGTGTGTCTGTTTGGAGTAGGGTGGTGGAGAGAACGGAAGTGATACGAACTGTTTTGTTTTATGGGAACAGTGGCTCTGTGGGAGAGGCAGTGTGGTGTAGTGGTTAACCTGTTGAGCTTGGTATTGGGGGTGCTTACGTTCTGATCCCCACTCAGCCTTGACGTCTGCTGTGTGACCTGTGCCAAGCACTTTTTCTGCCTCGCCGACTTCACAGGGTTATTGTGAAGATAACCCTGCAAAGGTGTACACTTCCTTTGAAGGGTAGGGTGAAAGAAATGCCATAGATTTTTTGAAAAACCTGATTTCATACATCTCAGGCTCAAATTTCAGGTCTATGTGTTTGATTTTAGGGTTTCTGTGCTGTTCTGTTGGAATGGTGCACATGTAAGGGGTACAATTAATGTAGTGGTTAATTTCAAAGAGAAGAGATGCACCTGTTCAGTCTCCACTTAGAATCTCTGCCCAGATGGGCTCTACATGAGAGAGGGTACTCTGCACATGTTCAGATGAAATCCTGTTGTTCTTTTACATATTTAGGGTTGAGCTCTTTCCTACAGAGGAGGTTTTCAGGCCAACCCATGAGTTGCATTAAAGTCTTAAATTATTCTCAGTCTAGATGCCCTTTCTGTTTACCTGGGAGTTTTGATTGTGGAGATAAAGGTTTTTGAAACATGAAAGGCCATCCAGATTTGGCATGGATAGGAAAGAAGCAGATGCAATATCTTCCCAAGAAAATGTGATTGTTTTTGTTTATGGTCCCATAGAATAACCTTACAAATTAATTCACAGGGGTTACTAGCCAATGTGAAATTATGTTGCCTGGTTTCCCCATCTCCATCTACCCTTTTTGTAATTTCTTGCACAGCGATGAGATGTAGTTGGTAGTCATTAAAAAAAAAGTGCTTCCTACTCTGCCTAGGTGACTAGACAAATGGGTGTCAAGTTGGGCTTAAAGAGAGTCAGTTTGGGGTAGTGGTTAGGAGTGTGAACTCTAACCTGGGAGAACTGGGTTTGATTCCCCACTCCTCCACATGCACTGCTGGTGTGACCTTGGGTCAGTCACAAGTTGTTTCAGAGCTGTTCTCTCAGGAGCAGTTCTCGAAAGCTCTCTCAGCCCCACCTACCTCACAGGGTGTCTGTTGTGGGGAGGGGAAGGGAAAGGAGATTGTAAGCTGCTCTGAGACTCCTTTAGGTAGTGAAGGGTGGGTGTAAATCCAATCTCTTCTTCTTCAAAATGTGGTAGGAGTGAAGTTTCTTGGAAACCAAATAGGGAATTTCCAAGTAATTACAATGATGATTGGGAAGTATGTCTCCCCGAATGACAAGTGAGGACATGGGTGTGTATGCACCTTTCAAACCCACATTAATGCTGGTATTTCTGCTGCCCTGAAAGATGGATTCCTAGCTGAGGGGCCATAGTTTGGAATTGGAGCACCTGCTTTGCATGCCGAATGTCTCAGGTTCAATCCCCACATCTCCAGCTCAACAGAGTAGTAGGTGATGTGAAAGATCTTCAACCCAAGACCCTGGAGAGCAGTCAGAGAAGATAGTGCTGACCAAGAGAGACCAATGGTCTCACATGGTGTAAGGTAGCTTCATGTGTTCATATTTATTTGTTTTCTTCACTGATAGCCCACCTTTCTCACTGTGACTCAAGGTGGATTACAAAACATTTAAAAAATTAAGCAGGCTGCATATGATGCCCAGTAAATATTGCAGTCGGACTAGGGATACAGAGTTTTTGTTCGGGAGGTGGGGGGCAGGCTGTCTTAAGGCATGACATACTATTATGCAGAAAGTGAAATTGCAAAGGTAGAGGGAATGCAGTAAAAGTGAGGTGGTGCGTACAAGAACGTGTGTCCAGCCAAGCATTTCCCCCCCTTCTGATGGAGGGTGACAGGAGAAGGAACTGGCTTAGACTCCCTTGGCAGCTAGTTAAAAGCCCCAGGGCAGGCAGACTAAGCATTTCTGCCTGAATTCTCTTGACCCTCCTTGGCAGAGTCAGCCCTAGTGAGCCTTTTCACCTGAGAGCCAGTTTGGTGTAGTGGTTAAGTGCGGGTTTGATTCCCCACTCCTCCACTTGCACCTGCTGATGTGGCCTTGGGTCAGTCACAAGCTCTGGCACAGCTGTCCTTGAAAAAGAGCAGTTTGTGTCAGAGTTCTCTCAGCCCCACCCACCTCACGGGGTGTCTGCTGTGGGGAAGGGAAAGGAGTTTGTAAGCTGCTCTGAGACTCCAAGTGAAGGGCGGGGTATAAATCCAATCTCTTCTTCTGGGAAAGAGAAGGATATGGGTATGAGATGGAACGAGAGGTGAGGTAGTCAGGAAATTTACAGCAGTACTCCCCAACCTGCTGTCAGTGGGCACCACGGTGCCTGCCGGCACATTCCCGGGTGCCCACCATGTGTTTCAGAGAGGTGGGTGGGGCCAGCGTGAATGCAGGACTAGCAGTTGGTTGCCCTTATACAACTAAAGGGATCCATCCCCCTCTCCCCTTAGTGGGCTTCTCTCTCTCTCTGTGTGTTACTCTTTGCTTCTGTGTTATGCTCCATCTCCTTGAGCCAGTTTGGTGTAGTGGTTAAGAGTGGTAGACTCTAATCTGGAGAACCAGGTTTGATTCCCCACTCCTCTTCCACATGCAGCCAGCTGGGTGACCTTGGGTCAGTCACAAGTTCTCTCAGAGCCCCACCTACCTCACAGGGTGTCCGTTGTGGGGAGAGGAAGGGAAGGCAATTGTAAGCCACTCTGAGACTCCGAGTGAAGGGCAGGGTATACATCCAGCTCTTCTTCCTCTAGTGTGCATGCATATGCTTGGCTCTGGCTCCTGCAACAGCCATTGTGTGATTGTGCCTACCGCTGTCTTTCAAAATACCAAAGGTGCCCTCAGGTTAAAAATGGTTGCGGACTCCTGATTTAGAGACACGGGCTACAAACCCTAAGAACACTTTCTTGACAGTAAGCCCCAACTGAATGCAACAGTACACACTTCTGAGTAGACTTAGGATTGCTCTCTGAGTTCTGCATGAATGACAAGAACAGCCAATTCAGCCATGGGTACAGATGGCTCTTGGTTTGCAAAAGATTCTTGTCTGTCCCTAGTCTTTGGTCAGCAGCTAGTAGACTCTGGGCCAAATCTGCCCCCCCCCCACTTGTGCCAGCTGCCCTCTTCAGTTACTAGTCTCAGTGGCAGAATATGGGTGTGGATGAGCAGCTTCTGAGTTCATGGCTTTTGGCAGCAGGTCACTGGAGAAGGTAGTAGGCCAAGACGTTTTGGCCTTTTCCCACACTGTGTTCCTGTTAGTGGTCCCCCAAGCAACGTAACTGCTCACCATGGTTCCAATATCTTTTGCCACGCATGTGGGGATGCTAATACTAGCAATGAATCAAAGATCATAAGTGGAAATAATTTGAGCTTTTTTCTTGGAGATTGTGGGAGTGTGGAGATATTAGGAGGCCCATGGGGAGGAGAGGAGATAGAATCTAGGTAGTGGAACCCAATTTAATTTTTTTTTTAAAAAGTGTATTATGTGGCTCCATCTATGAATCAGAGAAGTTGCAGTTCTGCTTGGTCCTGGTGTGGAAGACCCCATGCTGTCAGCATCTTGAGGAAGTGGTGGAGGATATTAGTGTAGTAAAATGTCAGGATGAAAGCCCCTGCTGTTTTCTAGCAGAAACTGCCCACATGCTTTCACAGTGTTCTGCTAGACTCCTGAAGATTACACCTTTGCTGTTCTCCCTTACATGAAGCCATAGGTTTTGAAGATTATTTCCAGGTTCTGCAAAGGAAAGGGAATGTTCTTTGGTTTGGATCCCTGTTACTCAGTCCAGTTTTCTTGCTCCTGTGATGGTGACTAGGTGCGATAGTTGGAAATTGTTTTTGACTTCAGGGGTCTTGACTAAAACCCGGCTCTGTGTTTTAGTCATTCATTAAACCTTGCCCAAGAGAACAGACAATGGTGTCTAATCTCATACTAGATATAATTTTTGCCCATTGCTGCAGAGCCTTTGTCTGAGCCAAATGGAATGTGCTTGTGTTTGCCCCGTGAATGCTGTAGGATGCCTTCATTCTTGGCCTTGATGAGTCAGGAAGGATAAAGGACCATAAAGAAACCCATGAATGAAAAGGGGTTACAATTAGGACTTGATGAGGCTCTTTCCAGCATGGGTGTGTGCATGCACACACACTATTAAGGAGGGAAATTTCACCTGGTCTCAGCTATCCCTGGCTTGCAGACTGTCCATGAAAAAAGGTGACCCATGTCCTCTTCCACATTAATACCAATTACCTGTTATGTAAGTGCATGAGAGAAATTTTAAGCTTTGGGTATTAAAATGCTGGTGTGGCAGTTAGTTTGCTATAACCAAAAGTAATGGGACACTTTAAAGACAAACAGATTGTTTCAGTGCAATCCTAAACAGACTTGCACCCTTTTAAGTCTGTTGACTTCAGTGGACTCTGCTTAGGATGCGGTCTTTGTGATATAGAACTTTCCGGGCTCTTTTTGTAGAAAAAGCCCAGCAGGCACTCATTAGCATAATAGGCCACACCCAACCGCAGGAACTCATTAGCATATTGGGCCACACCCCTGACAGCACAGCTCATTAGCACATTAGGCCGCACCCCCATGTTACCAGAAGTGTGGTTATCCAGCTACACCCACCTTTTGCTTCTTATTCTGTTGACCTTGTTTGTTGTCAAAACCCAGGGCCTTTTTTTGTAGCAGGAACTCCTTTGCATGTTAGGCCACACACCCCTAATGTAGCCAATCGTAATGAGTTTCTGCTGTTGGGTGTGGCCTATTATGCTAATGAGTTCCTGCTGGGCGTGGCCAACTTGGAAGCCAGCCGGAACTCCGTTCCTGTGCATTCCTGTCCAAAAATAGCCCTGGAGCTTGTGGAACGGAGACCCTGTTACTGGATGCCCGAAGGGTCTCCTTGGTTGGCACACTGGATTTGATAAATTCAGCCCTTCCTCCAAGAAGCTTAGGGTGGATGGATGCCCTCCGCTCTGTCCTGTCTTTAGAACAATCCTGTGAGGTAGGTTAAACTGAGAGAGAGCGACTGACCCAAAGCCAACCGCTAAGCTTCATGCAGAGTAGAAACTTGAACCCAGGTGTCGTCCCCCCACCCCACCCCCGGCCCTGTACTTTACTCCTGGGAATAATGAAAAATAAATGTAAATGGTTGAGAAGGCAACAAAACCCAGGAGTCTGTAACATGAAAAATGTTGCCTAGAAACAGGCCTTTTGGCTTCTCCTGCAGGATCTGTGCTTTGCTGCCTCAGAAGATGGAAATCTCAACCTTCCTCCCACTTTGATGCTCACGGCTCTTTTTGTTTTGCATCCCTTCCACTAATTGGCTAGTAGGGCAAGTGCTGAAAAATGAGCTGCACTTCTGACTTCCGCATAACTTCAAGCCATATTTTCACATCCCTAAAGGCTTGGAACTTTTTTTTTTCCACATAGAAGTGGAAATCCACAAAAAGACAACTTCTGTGGCTGAAACTGCATGCTGCACATTGTGGGGGCGGGGGCTTCCTCATCACCTCCCATTTCCCTCTCTAATCGATGGTTTCCTTTTCTTGAGCTGGTGGAGTGTTGCTTATGGCTGCTTGGCTGTTGTGGCTCTCCAGCTCAGAGCCGCCTGCCACTGAGTGCCAGAGGCTGACCTAGGTAGCTAAGTGGTGGCTGGGAAGAGACATCTCCGGTTCCTATGGGCATCCTCTCCTCCCTGCCTGTGGCTCGTGGCAGCACATTGATGGAGCATGAGGTCATCAGGAGCCAGCCCGGGTAGCAGTGGAACAGTCTGTGATTTGATCTGGTGCCCAGGCTCTGTTGCTTTTCTGCAGTCCTTCTGAGCTCTCTCTGGCTTTCACTTGCCCTCTCTGCCTTGGAATGGCAGGAAGTGAGATTAACTCCAAGGGTTTCTTCTATAAAAAGCCTTGCAATGTAATGATGCTCTGAGGAGTAGCAGCTTAAGCCAAGCTGTGCCTCATCTCCCCCCCCCCCCCCCAGCGTGTTAATCCCTGCCTCCGGATCATGAGGAAATCGGGGTTTATTTTTGGACTCTTTGCTTTGGTCTGCTCTACAGCAAGCAGGGGTTTTTTTTGTTGTTGCTGCTTATAACACCCACAGCCTGAAGGCCAGTGAGTTTCTAATGAGACAGCAGACTCTTTCGTGCTGGTTCAGACACGCATGTGGCTTTGCGTCCTCATCAGCTCGCTCAGGAAGTGAGCCAGTGAGGGGGAAGAGACAGTCTTCAACATGGCATGAATGTGTTTTGTTTGTTTGATTCCAAAATGATCCTTCTGGGTGCTTACCAGAGATAATAAAATGCAGTTGGATCAGGGGGATTTCCTTCTTCTCTTTGCACTGATGGACCCTTGTTTCTTTCAGGTGAGCTCTGTGAAGTGAACCAGTGTCAGAACGGAGGGACTTGCCTTACTGGCGTCAGTGGATCTCCTTTCTTCTGTATCTGTGCCGATGGCTTCACTGGGATTGTTTGCAATGAAACTGAGACAGGTAGAAGTGGGGGGTTCATGGCACATGCTGTAATCGTACAAAAGCATATTTTAAGCAAATACGTGCATGACTAACAGGGCCATCCTAAGCAGATTTACACCCTTCTAAATCTAGTGATGTCAGTGGGTTTAGAAGCGTGTGACTGTGTTTAGGATTGCTCTGTTAGGCTTCAGTCCTAAGCACATTTACCTGGGGAAAAATCCCATTAAATCTAGTGGGACTTACTTCTAAGTAGGCATCCATAAGATTGTGCTGTAAGGGACTGTGTCAACCTCTCGCACAAGCTTGCTATTTGGCTTCATTTTTTCTGAGCTCCAGCTCCTGTAGTGTGGGGAGGCAACAATATTGTCCTACCTAACAGGATTGTTGTAACCACTGACATAATATATCAGGAGACTCTGACTCGCAAAAGTTCATCCTAGAATAAATGCTGGTGGCACTGGACTTCTGTTTTATTTTGCTACAATATACTAACTCTTGTGGAACTACTTTAAGGACTAGCAACATTTATTCCAGCACATGAAGTTCTTTGAACTAAAGAGCTTCTCTAAAGCAGTATTATTTAGACACTAACACGATGTGGGCTGAGTCCAGCTGGTTTTTCTGTAGACCTTAATGAATATTCTAATCTTAGACGGTTTTTTTTTGTAAATGATACTCAAATCGTGCCTGTTAGGTGCAGATCAGCCTCTACTTGAGGGCACTATTTCTTTGCATGGGATTTGTTCTGTGCAGGGACTGCAATCTGAGGATCAAGTCAGATGAGAAGCAGAGATCCATGAGTGGATCTCATTTTTAAAAAGAATAAAAGTAAAAAAAGTATAAAGCAGTCTGTGTACAAGAGATGGCCTGGATTGTATAAGTACCGCAGCTTGTGAGCAGGATTTCTAACCTTCCCACCTCCAGTGTTATGTTCCTGATGTGAATCTCATCCCTGGGGCTGCTTTTGACTTGCAGGGTATCTGCTGGTTTTCCCTTCTGCAGCAAATAGCGGATCAGAGAGGATGCAGTCAAAAGTGTTTTTTTTAAAAGCACCTTCTCCAGTGCCACAGCACTGATCTGATTCAGACCACAAAGACAGACACTTGTGGACAATTGCACATGGTCTTGCTGCATCCTGTCCAGGTTGGCTTTTAGAGCTAACCGTATATTGGAGGGTTACACGCTTTCTCCCCCACCTCCACTTCACATCCGATTACCTCTTCTGTCCCTCTCTTCTTTAGGCCCCTGCAACCCAAATCCCTGTGAGAATGAGGGTGTGTGCCAGCTTGTCCCCAGTCGGGGAGATGTCTTCGCCGAATATGTCTGCAAGTGCCCTTTGGGGTATGAAGGCAAACACTGCCAGAACAGTGAGTATGGGATATGATGGGGAAGGAAGGCCGTATGAATGCAAGGACAGTCCTACTGGGTCGGGAGATGGCACAGTGTTTGTCTCTTTCCTGATTTTTAAAAAATGTAAATTCTTTTAGAGACAGTGATCTGAAGGGCGGGGGTGAGTTGGGTTGCTTAACCCTTTGCTTCTCAGCTGACAAAACACCCCTCCAATCTGCTTTCCTGCCAGTATAAAAAAAGATACTGCATGAAGATGAAAAGCAGGAGGAGGGAATGGCAAGAGGAGAAAGGTTCCTCCTCCTCCTGCTCTTCTATTCCCATCTGAAACTTTCCTAAATTGCTTTTTATGATGGGGGGGGGGGAAGAGAAACTGAACTAGAGATGAGCACAAACCGGATGACGAACTAAAGTTGGTCACAAATGTTGAGCACCTGGTGGTTTGCAAAGCAATGTTCACAAACCGAAGAACATCTTTATAAATGATTTGGATGAAGAAATAGAGGGAATGCTTATTAAATTTGCAGATGATACTACGTTGGGAGGGGTAGCAAATATGGTAGAAGGCAGAGTCAGGATACGGGATGATCTTGGAAGGCTGGAAAACTGGGCTAAAATAAATAAAATGAATTTCAAGGGGGATAAATGTAAAGCTCTGTATTTAGGTAGGAAAAATCAAATGCATCATTATAGGATGGGGGACACTTGGCAGTAGTATGCACAAAAAGGATTTAGGGGTATAGAATCAGAGTTGGAAGGGGCCATATAGACCATCTAGTCCAACCCCCTGCCCAATGCAGGACCCCAGCCTAAAGCATCTCTGACAAATATTCATAGTTCCTAATACCCAGCTGATACCTTTCTGCATGTAATTTAAACCCGTTGCTTCGGGTCCTATCCTCTGCTGCCAACTGGAACAGCTCCTTGCCCTCCTCCAAATGACATCCTTTCAGATATTTAAAGAGAGTAATCATGTCTTCCCTCAATCTCCTCTTCTCCAGACGAAACATTCCCAAGGCCCTTAGCCTTTCCTCATAGGACTCAGTCTCCAGACCCCTGATCATCCTTGTTGTTCTCTTCTGCACCCTCTCAATTTTGCCTTTGAAGTGAGGCCTTCAGAACTGCACACAGTACTCCAGGTGCGGCCTGACTAAGGCAGTATGCAAGGGGCTATGACCTCCTGCGATTTCGATGCTATGGCCCTTTTAATACAACCCAAGACTGAATTTGCTTTTTTTGCCACCGCATCACACTGACTGCTCATCTTTAGTTTACAGTCCACCCTTACCTCAAGATCTCTTTCGCACACACTACTCACCAGAAACATATCCCCCAACTAGTATTTGTGCTTGACATTTTTATGGCCCAGATGTCATACTGTGCATTTATCTTTGTTGAATTGCATCCTGTTTGCAACTGCCCACTTCTCCAGAGTATTCGGGTCTTGTTGAGTTTTAACTCTTATCTTCTTGGGTGTTTGCTACTCCTCGCAATTTGGTATCATCAGCAAATTTAATGAGTAGCCCTTCTACCCCTTCATCCAGATCACTGATAAAAATATTGAAAAGTACCAGGCTGTGCGGCACCCCACTGGACACTTCCCTCCAGTCAGATGAAATGCCATTGAGCACCACCCTTTAGGTGCGGTCCTCTAACCAGTTCCCTATCCACTGAACTGTCCTATAGTCCAGTCCGCAGTCTTCCAGTTTGCCCATCAGAATGTCATGGGGAACCTTATCAAAAGCTTTACAGAAATCCAGGTAAATCACATCAACAGAGTTCCCACGATCCAGTAAGCTCGTCACACGATCAAAGAAGGAAACCAGGTTGGTCTGACAAGATCTGTTGGGGACAAAACCATGCTGATTTCCCCGGATCACTAAGTGGTCCTTCAGATGCTTACAGATCGATCCCTTTAAAATCTGCTCTGATATCTTCCCAACCACAGAAGTCAGACTGACCGGCCTGTAGTTTCCCGGGTCATCCTTCTTCCCTTTCTTAAAGATTGTGATAACATTCACTCTCCTCCAGTCTTGTGGCACATCCCCAGAAGGCCTTGAAGATAATAAACAGAGGCTCTGTAAGTTCCTTAGAAAGTTCTTTGAGCACTCTTGGGTGCACACCATCTGGCCCAGGGGATTTGTATTTGTCCAGTGCAGCCAGGTGCCTCTCCACAACCTCCCTGTCAATGTCAACTGGACACTCAGGTATCCTCTCATGTCCTCTATCATCTCTAGATGGGCTCGAGTTCTTCAGGGAGAAAACAGAGGCAAAAAAGTCATTAAGCCTGTCTGCTTTTTCTCTGTCCTCCACCAGAGTTTCTCCTTCTACTCCCCAAAGCAGTCCAATTGCCTCTTTTACCTTGCGTTTGCTTCTCACATATCTGTAGAAGTTTTTCTTATTGTAGGGTCTTAGTACACTGAATGTGAGTCAGAAATGTGATGTGGTAGCTAAAAAGGCAAATGTGATTTTGGGCTGTGACAATTACAGATCATGCGAAGTGATGATATCGCTTTACTCTCCTCTGGTTAGACCTTACCTAGAGTATTGTGTTCAGTTTTGGGCACCACAATTTAAGAAGGATTAAGACAAGCTGGAACGTGTCTAGAGGAGGGCAACGAAGATGATGAGGGTTCTGGAGACAAGGTCCTATGTGGAAAGGTTGAAGGAGCTGAGTACGTTTAGCCTGGAGAGGAGACGACTGAGAGGTGATGTGATAACCATCTTCAAGTACTTGAAGGGCTGGCATATAGAGGATGGTGCAGAGTTGTTTTCTGTTGCCCCAGAAGGTTGGACCAGAACTAATGGGTTGAAATTAAATCGAAATTGTTTTTGGCTAAACGTTAGGAAGAACTTCCTGACAGAGCGGTTACTCAGTGGAACAGGCTTCCTAGGGAGGTGGTGGTTTCTCCTTCTTTGGAGGTTTTTAAGCAGAGGCAAGATGGTCATCTGACAGCAATGCTGATTGTGTGAACTTAGGGAGATAATGAGAGGGAGGGCCCGAAGGGCTGCATCAGTGCTTAGTTCTCATGGCCCTTTCTTAACCGCCCAGGGAAATGCTGGTTGCCACTTTGGGGTCAGGAAGCAATTTTCTGCAGGCCAGTTTTTTTGTCATTTTCTGGGCATGGAGAAAGGGGTCACTGGGGTGTGTGGGAGTAGGTATTTGTGAATTTCCTGCATTGTGCAGGGAGTTGGACTAGGTGACCTTGGAGGTCCCTTCCAACGCTGATTCTGTGATTCTAACTGCCACAAACTTCCATAAATTTTGGTGTGGTTTGTGGCAAGTTGTGAAGAGCAGAAAGCAGAGACCCCTGCTTTCTGTCCTTCACAATAAACAGCTGTTTGGTTTGAATGGCTCAAAAACCACCCTGCTTCCTGCTCCCCATGAAAAGTCACTTAGCTGTTTGGTTTAAATCCTTGGGGAGCAGAAAGCAGGGGTTAAATGGCTCGGAAAACCCAGGCTTTTCATGGGGAGCGGAAAGCAGAGGTTTAAACTTTAAATGGCTCACAAACTGATACAAATCAGGTTGGTTCTTGAACCATCCTCCTGGTTCATATGGGTTCATGGTTAAGTTTGTGGTTCAGCCATAAACCACAAACTGAACTGCAAAAATCCATTCCTGCCCATCTCTACATTGAACTCTTATGGGCCAATTCATATGTTACAGAGTTCCCACTAAGCTGAGCTACTGCTCGGTAGCCCACAGCATTTTAGATTCCAGTGCACACCTTTTTGTCTTAGCGCAGGCAGGGTGACCCGTATTGGCAGTTCCATGGGTCTTCAAGCAGTTTTAGGATTGCATGGAAACTCTGTGTTCCTGTAACACATTTGCCTGCTGGTGAGCCTGCAGTAGCTCCCTGCCTGGGGGGATGTTGGAAGTATCACCAAAGTGTCTTTGGGATCCAGGTAACTGAGGCCATGGGACACCAGGAGGAACTGGGCGAGACCAACAGTCACAAGCACTGTGGCGCCAGGGTGAAGGTGGGCAAAAGTGGGAGATGCAGGTGCTGCCATGGCTGCGAGCAGGTGAGAGAGAGACGCCGCCTCCCTCACCTTCTTCCTCTGTCCTGGTTGGAGCTACCGGTGGTAGAAGGGGACCGATGGGGGAATGGAAGTGCTGTCTGGGCCTGGCAGAAGGAGAGCGACTTGCTGCGAGTTCCAGCTGCCTCCCTCCCCCCAGCTGGGAGGGAGGAATGAGGAGTGGATTACTGTCTCTCTCACAGTACAGGTTGGCTGCCTTTAGGACAAGGGGCAGCGGGTATACAGGAGAGGTCGAGCCTTGCCTTAGGAGATGCACACTTTCAAAGCATCCTGGCAAAGGGAGAACTGCAGGGTCTGAAATGAGGGAAGTGCGCTCCTTGTTTCATGGAACTGAAGTGTCTTGGAATAAGTGATGGACGTTCACCAGAGAAAACTGGTTCTCTTCCCCCATACCCCCTCCCCCGTACTTAAGAAAGTAAACTACATTTCTACAGTGTTCTAGACTCAAAAATGGGTAACTTGTTAAATGGCTTTCCTTTGTAGTTATGCTTGGAGAGGCGTGACTTTTTTTGGATGCAGTTTTCAAACGGTTTACATTTTATTGCTTGTTTGCCATAGAAGTTGGGAGGGGGAGTAGGAGAGCGTGAACTCAGCATACTTTTGCTTTCAGATGCTTTGAAGTAGATTGTTGCATATTGTCCCTGGGAACATCCACCGGCCTTGAGTCTTAGCTTACACTGCCTGGCTTTTGTCTGCAGGTTGAGGGGATATCATCAAGGTGGGAATGCATAGCCCTTGGCTTGGGCGGGTGGAATACCTGTGGGTGATTGGCTTATAACCTTTTAGGGTCCCTGTTTGAACCTTGTGTATCTATTGCTTTTGCACCTCCATCTTCATTCTTCTGAGTGAACGTTGTTGGGAACTGATTTCTTCAAGAGTCTGACAGTGCAGTGTCAAATAAAAATGGGTATTGATCTGCAAATGCATCCACCTGCTTTTTCCTGTGTCAAGAGTGCTGAGTATGTGAATCCTGATTTGACACTCTGTTTCCTTATATATAGGTAGAGCTTTGGGAAGGTAAAGTAATCTGTGTGGATGATGATAGGGAGCATTCATTTAGGCAGAAGTCTTATTAATGGAATAAGGACTTCTTGATTGGTTGAATAATCCATTAGCTATACATTCCTATAATACCTCTTTGTGTATGACTTTGTGTCCAGTTTGCTGAGTTTTGTTGCACTATACCTTCAGCTTTAAAAAAAAATACTTAGGGCTTTTGGAATGTTCAAAGCACTTGGAATTTTAGTGCCTTATCTCAGAAATCCTTCCAACAGCTCTGTAAGGCAGATTGGTATTATTATCTCCATACTGCAGATATGTGTCGGTGTGAAACCTGGTTTGCCTAAGTTAACCGAGGGAGTTCATGGTTGACATAAGACTTGGACTAGGGATTTTGTAGTTTGCATTCTTAGCTGCTCTGTGTAGCTTGATCCATTCCGGTTGAGGTATTATTACTGAGGTGGCAAATGTTAGTAATTCAAGTGTCGTGAGAGAACACTTTATGTTAGACAAGTAGAAGAATAAATTATTAAAAGAGTGCAGAATTCTGCACGCACCTGCTTAGTCAAAAGGGTTGTACAGACACTAACAAAAGTAAATTCAGCAAAAGTTACTCTTTTCTTCTTTGCTGGGGGATTATGCCAACACTTTTTAAGATAGATGCATTTTACTTTTACTAAACATGTAATATGTTAAAAATAACCCTAGAGGCATCGTCTCCGGTTCAGAGTTGGAACCATAAGGAGCTGATATGTCTCTGTTCTTGGGGTATATGAGGATGTAATGATAGTGTTCATGTACTCGAAAAGGTCCAGGCTCTGGCTGATGCCAGATGGGACACTAAGCCAGTGATGGCGAACCTTTTAGAGACCGAGTGCCCAAACTGCGACCCAAAACCCACTTATTTATTGCAAAGTGCCAACACGGCCATTTAACCTGAATACTGAGGTTTAACTTTAGGAAAAACAACTCATACATTAACTTAAGATGATCCACACAAAGTAAGGAAAGCAATCCCAAATGCTTTCATTTACTTAAAATTATTTGGCAGAGAATTCGACATTTTAATGATGGTCTGGGCCTGGCTGGGGCGATGGCACACGTGCCCACAGAGAGGGCTCTGAGTGCCATCTCTGGCACCCGTGCCATATGTTCGCCACCACTGCTCTAAGCTTTCATCTGCGCACACACTCCAGATATAATGAAATGCAAGTTACCAGTCCATACATGTAGGACTGGCAAATTAGCATATGGCATAATGAAGGATGTTTAACAGATGCAAGGACGAAACAGTAATAACAAGCTTAGGTTACCATTTGTTTGGGTTTAATTCTGGGGGGAAACATGGTAAAGGAAATAAATATGTCAGAATTGGAGATTGATGAGCAGATGTATCCTTAACTGTGAAATTCTGAGAGTAATTAACTGAGGCCCTGCCATTACTCTCAGCATCCCACATTTAAGGATACATCTGCTCATCAATCTCCAATTTTGACATATTTATTTGACTCACAAAGTAGAATTTCTGCACACAGCATTCCATAGCTTAGTGGGAACTTTGGTTACAAAGTCCTTGTGTTACAAAGTCCATGGCAGGTTGACAGGTGTAGTTTGAGAGTTCCTTTCTTGGGGCAGAATTTCCAGGTATGAATAGGCTCTGATTGGGGTCATGATATGTTGGGAGAGGAGACTGAAGCCTTCCCTCATGACATTTCTCAGACCCAGTGGTGTGACTGTTTGCCCCGTTCGGGACTCTTGCATGTAGCCATCAGTAGATGTTAGTTTCCCCAACGGGGCCATTGTAGAGCCAGGAAACAGCATGGTGGGGGAAGGCTTGCCCCCTCTTCCTGTGCACTCTTGTGTCTGTTAAACTGCAGGTTTTTAATCTAGTTTTATTGTATTTTATTTGCTGCTTAATATTTTTAGTTATGTTATTTTGTGTAGTTTTATCATATTTCTTTTGTTGTTACCTGCCTTGGGTCCTGACTTGGTCAAGAGAAAGGCAAATACTAAGTATTCTCTTGGGAATGCTTCTTCTGAGACAATGTCGGAACTAACCCCAAAGATACGGAATAGAATTTTTGAAGGACTCTTCTATGTTTCTAAGAACATAGAAATGAGAGATAATTGCCTGAATGTAATTTTTTAGGTGTGATTATACACCTTCAAAATTGACAAAAATGTTTAGGAGTTTCTCAGATATTTGTTGGCATTGTAGGAATGGCAAGTGTACTTTTATACAAATATGGTGGTAGTGCAAGTAATAACGAAATTTTGGAAGTAAATTAATAAAAATATTGGCAAAATATTAAGAATGCTTCTGGTTCTGGATTGGAAGCAACAATAGTTACCGAGTATATGTAACTGGTTGTGTAAAACCTAGCATGTGTCATGTTGATGGACAAGAAAAAAAGACTTTATCAAAATAAATGTCCAAAGACTTCTAAATCAATAGTGGATATTATTTATTCAGTATTGGGAGATGAAATTTGCAGAAGTATTGGCAATGCTTTAGTATGGAAAAAATGAATGCGACCGAAGTACATCTTTCTTTTGAGCAGTTTTGTTGGCATGCAAACTTATTAGTTTAGTGTATTTAATTTCTGTCCCACTCCATTTCCCACAAGCAGGACTCAGGGCTGCGTATAACAGGTAATATACATCAGTACATAATAAAATACATGCAATAAAATTAATAAAATTCTTTGATACTATTCAGCACTTTAAACTACTGTTGGATGGCGTCATACATCTATTCCCACGGGTAGCTGGTGTGGCTGGCATACAATCTGTGTTCCACCCATAGGGAGGATCTTAAACAGCAGCAGGCTCTTATGCAGATTTAGCTAACCAGTTTTATGACTAATCTGATTAACTAATCTGGAATTTTTTTTCTTCCTCAGAATCTTCCTCCTTTTCAGCCTTAGACGTGAATGAATGCTTTTTGCAGCCGTGTCAGAATGGAGGAGTCTGCTTGGATTTGGAAGGAGACTATGCCTGCAAATGTACTTCGCCCTACTTGGGGAAAACCTGTAACGTCCGTAAGTTCCTGAGTGTGAAGGTGCTGGTAGAGGGGAGTGTAGAAGAATTCCCAGCATGGCCTTGCTGGATCTGTCGGAGGTCTACCTAATCCATTCTTCTGTTTTGAGCAGAGGCTAACCTGATGCTCCTGGCATACCTTCTAGCAAGCATTAAGGTGGTAACTTTCCTCTGTCCCTAGCATCTGGTATGCTCACGGCTGCATGTACTCCACATGAACAAAAATGTAAAATGCTGTGTCCTGGCTATCCAATTCAGTTATCCAAGCAACAGCCCAGTAGGCTGGACTGAGTGACAGTGGCTTGGCTATGACCACCCAGTGAGCATTATAAATGGGTAGGGATTCCAGCCTTGCTTTCCCATGGCTGATGTTGTTACTCCATCCCACTCTGAGTCCTGTATCTCCTTGCCAAGGCACTCTCCCAACAACTCCCTTTGCAGCAGGCTTGCTTATTTTTGAACGCTGCTTCAAAATTTGCAGTGTCAGATTGGCAAGAAATCCTCCCAGCGCAACTCCTTGCTCATGGGTCACATTTAGGTCAGGGTGTACCTGCCAGCTCAGAGATGAAATCCACCCACATTTTGCATGCTTGAGATAATTGCCATGTCAGTGTTTGCTTGGCTCATTTATCTCAATATGAAGCGCAGCTCCTTTTCAGCTTTGCAGTGGCTTTGATTGCATAGATGAAAGAGACGGAAGCGAGATAAGAGGGCTACGCTGGTCAACATAACTCCACTAAAAAGCGTTTCTTCCCCCCAAACACTGATGACTTGATTTGACGACTCTCATGATAGAAATGCAGAGTGGGAAGCATTGGCTGGGAGTGTTGTTCTGTTGCCTAATCCTTTGAAGGTGTTGAAAAGCAGCTGGTGCAGCTTAAATACACAAAGGCATACTCCTCTTTTGTGACTCCTCATTTGAAGCGATTGCAGACAAAATGAAGATGTGCTGCAGGGCAGGATTTAAGGTCAGAGTTGAAGAACAAGCCAGCCAACACTGCTATTCACTACTCTTAACCAAGCACAAAAGCTGATGCAGCATGTGCATTGCAGGTAGAGAAGACCTGTCTTGAGGATGTAAAAGTTCTTGTCCCCTGAAGGATCTCAAGTGGAAGCATATGGAGACTTGCTTTCCTGAGACCCTCAATAACCCGTGCCAATTGATTTGGGACTAAGTGACAAGCGGAAGAGCCTCTTCTTTCAGAAGCAGATGCCTTGTGTTGAGAGAGGCTGGGCAGAGTGGTCAGTTATAACTCAGTACAATATTTCAACAGGCAATTATAAAAGGCACAATTAAAATCTCAGTGACAGAAGTCCTGATTAAAAGACAGGCAAAAGCCCCCAGTTTTGCATCTAGCACTTAAAAAACCATCTGTGGGGAGGGTGTTCCACAACCCCGGTGCCACTTCAGATAAAGACACTGCCTCTGGTGTAATTTCCCACTGCATTTCAACTGGTAGGACCACAGTTCAGGGCATCCATGTCAGTCTTAATTGTTAGGCAGGTGAATCTGGGAGGAGACCTTCCTGACCTTCCTGTGGCACTAGGAGCCTGCTGAAGGTTTCTGGATGATACCAGTTGTGGACATTGTGGCTCTATAAAGCTGGAAGCCAGAGGACCTAGAAAAAGCCTGGCATTTGGGAAGAAAGTGCAACAGGAAGGAAAAATTGCCCCCCCCCCCCGTTTCATTTATACCCTGCCTTTCTTTTCAATGGGGGGACCCAAAGCAGCTTGCATTTCCTCTCCTTCATTTTATCCTCACAACAAACCTGTGAGGTTGGTTTGGCTGAGAGAATGTGATTGGCTCAAGGTTACCCAGCAAGCTTCCATGGCAGAGTGGGGATTTGAACCTGGGTCTTCCAGATCCTAGTCCAATGCTCTGTCCACTACAATATCATGATCTTTGAGAAGGGCTTAATTAACAATTTAGGGAATATAATGGGTGGGACATTAGTTGTCAGGTGGAAGCTGACCTCCATGTGGTTTTGTAGGATGTGGTTCTTATTCTTATTTTATTTTTTGTCTCTTTTGTTCTGCCTGCCTGTCTTTCTCCTTTATGTACAATGTTTCCTCCATCTTGTTCTTCTTCCACACCTACCAATTCTGCACTGCAGGCTGTGCCAATGCACTGGGCATGGAGACAGGTGCCATTGCAAACACCCAGGTCTTGGCTTCGTCTGTGCATTATGGGTTCCTGGGCCTGCAGCGCTGGGGCCCTGAGCTGGCTCGCCTGAACAACAAAGGGATTGTGAATGCCTGGACCTCGAGCAATTACGACAGGAGCCCCTGGATTCAGGTATGTGTGGGATAGGCAGCAGTGAGTCATTATCATGTACGGGGCTATCCTAAGCAGAGCTAAAGACGTCAGTGGACTTAGAAGGGGCAACTCCGCTTAGGAAATGTGCTGTTGTGATAATATATGGAGTTGTGAGGGTGTGGGGTGTGGTACATATGACAAAATGTCAGTTCACTCGGGGGCAGCAGTAAAACGTGGAGCTAGCCTTAAGCACAGGAGAAAGGGGGGGATACAATCGGAGTGGGCTTGGAAGAAAAGCCAGTGGGAGAACAGCTTCTCTGGTCTGTTTGCTGCTTCACTCCATGTATAGGTGATGCGGTAAATGTGCTTCAGTCAGGGGTGGGTTGGCCGTTTAACTTACAGGGAAATTTCCTGGTGGGCCACTGACGGCCTGGAGCAAGCAGACCCAAGCAGACTCAGGGGTTGCCTGGCATTTGGCAGTCAGCCATGGCAGTTGGTGTCAGCTCATCCACCGTCTCCTCCTGCACTGCTTCCAGTTCATGGAGTGATGCCACTGGTGAGCTGTTGCCCACGGTCAGCCCCACTGAGCTGAGTGGTCTGGCAGTGCTGGCTTAGCACACCAGAGGGGCTGCTCAGCTTGACTTGCTCCAAGGCCGTTTTCACCTGCCAGTCTGCTCCTGGCTTCAGCGCTGCTGTTCAGCCAACCAGTTTGGGTAATTCTGCCCCTCTGCGGAACTTTTCTCTGCACCAGGTAAACCTGCTGAGGAAGATGAGGCTTTCTGGCATTACCACGCAAGGGGCCCGTCGCGTAGGCCGGGCAGAATATGTGCGAGCCTACAAAGTGTCCTACAGCCAGGATGGACGTGAGTTTGTCTACTTCAAGGATGAGAAACGAGATCATGATAAGGTAAGCCAATGGAAGTGGTGGGGAAAGCTGCGTCTGAGGGAAGGAACTGAAGGGTGGAACAACCTCTACGTTCCATACTTCCTAATAATGCTCAGCATTTGTTTAGCACTTTCCGGTGTTCAGAGGACTTCATGTTTGTGAGCTGCTTGTACTGTCTAATCATATTTTTATTCCACCCTTACTTTCATCCTCCTGTGATTCTCCCATTTTTATCCTCGGATAGGTCAGGCGAGAGAGTGTGACTGAGCTAAGTCACCTAGTGGACTTCAGAGTGGTCTCTGGTCTTAACTGAACAATCAAACCACAGCACCATATTGGCAGAAGTAGGGGGAGTATCATTATCCCTGTAGTGAAAAGAGTGCTGAAGCCTCTTTGTGCCAGTTCATAACAGAGAGGATCTTTGAACTTGCAACTTCCAGATTTGTAGCTCAGCGTTTTTAGCCGCTTTACTGCAGTGGGTTTTGAGGGCTGAACATTCAGGGGAGAGAGGTCTGGAGTAGGGATGAGCACGAACTGGGAAAATGGAGATTTGTGGTGGTTCGTGAGACCTCAGTTCGTGAACCTCTATGAACTTTTCCATTTACCAAACTGGTTCGGGTTCGTGAAATACATGCAGCTTCCAAGCAGGGGGGTGGGAGCAAAAGGGATCACTGAACTGGCTTGCACCTATTAGAGATGCAAGCCATTTCAGCTATCCCTTTCACTCCCCCCTGCCTCCATGGGGGGGGGGAGTAGAGCGAAAGGATGCAAGCCAGTTCAGCAATGCCTTTCGCCCCCCTCACTCCCGCAGAAACTGCAGTAGCTCTCACAAATGAACTCAAAAGCCATTTAAATGTTTTCTGAGCTCACTTGCATCACAGCGTGGCAGTGGCACAACTCGCAAGTCGTGCAGCCGCTGTGGTGCAGCATGAGTGAATTGTCAGAAGGCATTTAAATGCCTTCTGAGCTCACTTGTGTTGTGCGGCAGCACGACTCACTAGTGAACTTAGAAGGAATTTTCATGCTTTCTGAGCTCACTGGCAAGTCGCGCCACCATGGGTTCCTGACCGTTGCCTTGGACATCAGAGTGTCTGACCCACGAACCTTCTTGCAAACAAAATAAACCGCCACAAAAACCATGGTGGTTCATGGGTGGTTCATGAACAACACGATCGCACGACTTGTGGTTCACAAATGCATGAACTGGCCTGGTTCTTCATGAAATTTGGTTCGCAATTTGTTTTGTGCCCATCCCTAGTCTGGAATATCCCTGAAAGTGCAAGTCCTTTCCTCTTTGGTCTCCTGTGGGTGTTTTGTCATTTCTTCTACCCCCTCACTGTCAGAAGGAGTGATCAAAGTGGGCTTACTCATGAATGCTAAGAATGTTTAGTTCACTTTGTTCTGGCAGTGGCTGTCCAGGGTCTTAGGCAGAGATCTTTCATATCACCTACTGCACTCATGATACTTTTGTAAATTGGAGATGCTGGGGACTGAACTTGGAACTTTCTGCTTGCCAAGCAGATACTCTGCTACTGAGCTTCAGCGTGTCCCCTAAAGGAAGGCTGTTGAATCCATTTCAGTCCAGAAATTCTTTGTTTTTTTTCCTCCTGCAAGCTTTGAGTAGCCAAATAATCAGAAGCACATGACTCCTCACTGCATAGTTGCCATTCCTTTCCCCTTGGCTTGAAATGTTTTTTCTCGCCCTGTTGGAAGGACAACACAAAACACATGTGACTGGGGTTTCTTCTGCACGAAAGGTGAGAGGTGTTCCACGTCAAAGCATCAGGCTCTTGCACCCCCCCCCAAAATAGCTGGTTCAAAAGCAATTTGGATTATTGTTCTAGCAAATGTGCTTGTGGCTGATCGGAAGCAGTTAATCACAGCCATTCATTCGCTAAAGGGAGGAAATTTATGAAGTACAGCTGGCTAGGCCTGAAATTTATATTATAAATGGGTGTGTGTGTGTGTGTGTTCTGCACGAAAACTCATATGCACAAAACTTCAGACATCCTGAAAACGCAAAACATGCAACTAGAACAAATGGTTAAATCGTTAGTACTGCATGCTTTTATCTTGTGTTCTGTGAGCTGAATTTTTTGAGATTATTTCTGCAGTGGGGAAAAGTGAAAGTTGAGATTATTAGGAGTAAGGGGATAAATCCACCTGATGCCTTCTCTTACTTGCATCTCTTTGGGTATAGGTCTTCCTTGTAACTGAAAGTAGTCTCCATATTCCATTTGAAATCACAGGGACCGAACTTCACATTTCTTACAAATGTACTTAATTTATGAGTTCTCATTTCATCACACTAGTAGTTTCCATGTGCAGGGAGGAGCCAAGAAACTCAAGCAGAGAAACCAAAGTCCCTGGTTCAAATTTCTCTTTGCTTTTACCGTGAGTTTATTTGGCAGCCCTGGGCAAGCCACTCTGTCTTAGCATCATTCTCCCACCTGCAGTCTGGGGATAAAAATGCTGATATTTGTGCTCAGGTTACAGAGAGAATGTTTGGTAAGCTCTCTGTTCAGTCCCCTATGCAGCTGTCACTCCCTCCTTTTTGGAAGGACCTGCTGCTGGAGCATATGTGTTCCAACAACAAAGTGTCAGTGCTCCATTTATTTCCTCTAGTGTATGCTTCCAGTACAGAGCCCTCCTCCCTACATGTGATGTCATAACTCTGTTTTCTTTCTGTCATGTGACTGAACTTGTGCAGTATCTGTGCTGAAGTTTCTCTCCTCATGGAGCTGTGGTGGCTCAAGTGGTTATGGCAGCGGCTCCTACTCGAAAGCCTTGTAATCATCTGCCTTGTAACTAGTTAATGATTATTTGCTTCATTAAATTTCAGATGCATCTGAATATTACCTTAGCCCCAATAGAAGTTTGTTTTTTGAATGAAAGAAAGAGGTTTATTTATTTATTTATTTGCATTTTTACCCCGCCCTCCCCGCGAACAGGCTCAGGGTGGCTTACACAGGGGCATAAGCCCATGCATAACACAATATAAAACAGTAAAAACCAATTTAACTCAAAAACTACTGCAAATAGTAAAAATGCAAGTTTTACTTTCACATTATCTAGTTGGAGTAAGATCTTGTATATTTAAGGAGAATATTGATTTCATTGTGGTATTTTTGATTTTTATTGTGAGTTTTAATTAATTGCTGTTTTTCATCAGTAGTGTCATTTTAAGCATTCTTAGAAGCTCCCTTGAGAGTGATAATCTAAGAAGCGGGCACAAATACTTTAAAAAGGATTATTCCAAAAATAGTTTTAAAAAAATCAAGTGTGTGTTTAACTCAGAACCTAGCCATCTAGTGTTGGTTCTCACTGGTTTTATAGAATGAATCAGTTTTAATATAATATAAAGCTGGCTGCCGTATGTATTTAATGCCGTGTATGTAGACCAGTTACAGATTTTTCTGATGTTCTGTTCTGAGATGCAGTTGCCCTAACCAAAATTTCCTTCAGAAAAGGGCAGGGCTGAGGGGGGGGAGGGAGTCAAATAATAGCCCTGATCCAAGACATTTTCCTCATAATTTCCCTTTGCAGGTTTTTGAAGGCAACGCAAACAATGATGTCACGGTGACCAATCTGTTTAATCCGCCAATCACAGCGCAATACATCCGCATCTATCCTGTGGTCTGCCGTAGGGCTTGCACGTTGCGCTTTGAGCTGATTGGCTGCGAAATGAATGGTAAATGCTTCCCATTGGCTTCACCATGCTGGGTGGCCGTGCACTTCCCTTTTGGGGTGACTAACCAGAGGGCAGCATTCTGGCTCTTTGCTTCAGTTTGTGTCCATGTTGGAACTCAGGGTGGTAGGGAGTTTGGAGAAAGGAAAAAAAAGAAAAGCATCAACATTCTGCATCAAGACCAAAATGCTGCACCATGTATACCTGTGTGTCGGTGGGGTGGATTCTGTGTGGCGAAAGCCTCTTGCTGAGCTCCAATTTTTGAACTTCTGTTAGCACTTACCTTGGGGAGTGGGGCTTTGATCTTAACACCTTGGCTAAATTTCAGTGGTGTGTAACTGACTTTCCTGTGTGTACTTTTGCACTGGGGGGGGGGACAATTAAAATGCTACACCCGGGCAATCTGAAGGTCAGTGTGACTTGAAACAGAAATGTCATGCCTCTGAAAATTTTCACTATTTTGCACAACTTAATCATGGAGTTGGAAGGGACCTCCAGGGTCATCTAGTCCAACCAGTGTTCCCTCTAAGCTGAGCTAGTGTCAGCTACCTCAGAGTTTTTTAGCCTCTGGCTCACAAATTTTTGTCTTAGCTCAGAAAGGATGGCTCCAGAGCAAACTAATTTATGCAGTAACCAAATCGCTCACTCACAACTTTAATGCCACTAGCTCACAAAGTAGATTTTTTGCTCACAAGACTCCACAGCTTAGAAGGAGTTTTGAGTCCAACCCCCTGCATGATGCAGGAAATTCACAAATACCTCCTCCTCCACACCCACAGTTACTGCTGTTCCACACCCAGAAAATGACAAAAAAACCTCCAGGATCTCCAGCCAAACTGGCCTGGAGAAAAATTGCTTCCTGACCCCAGAGTGGCAATCAGGATTTCCCTGGGCGTTTAAGAAAGCACCACAAGGTTATACGTCATGGAGAAGTAGTTGCAACCTGCCTCCATTTTGAGCAGTAGCAAGAGAAAAATAAAATTAGAAAGGCCGTCAGATGTATGGCATGATATTGCTTCTGGGGGAGCCTGTCAGATGCTAGTGCTCTCTAGGAATCTCCAGAGACTCTGTGGTTTTACCATAGAGTTTTTGGTGATTCCTGAAGAGGTGTGATGCTACTTTTTTGGTTTTTCCTGGAAGTGATGTCATACTGTCACTGATGGCTACCACCCCCATGTCACTGCTCCCCTGCCCCAGTCTCCTGCTGGTTGCTGGCCTGGCAACCCTGTGGAGAAGGCCATGGAGATGTGCAATAAGGCCTACCCCCAAACCACTGGGAGATTAAGAGGGGCTAGAATGACACTTGTAGTGCCAATTGAAAAGCTAGATTTGAGTGGTAGGGCAATGATAACCATAGCAGAGTCACTCTACTCCCACTTCTCTATGATGCAAGGCCCGCCAGTGGTTTTCTCCACTCAAAATCTATAGGTGCCAGTCGGACTGCATGGGGCCTCCAGTGGCTTCCCTCATGGCAGTCGGGTCTGAATTACTTCTGCCTTTTTCTGGGCCAGGAGCTGACCTTCCATGTCCTGGAGATCTTGGCTCTCTGCTCTCAGCTGCGTCTCTCTGTTTGCATCAGTGACCACAGTGACACCCACTGGTGGAGCTAGGGACTCCAGGGTTATTTATGGCTTCTGCTACTAATACGGATATTGTTGTTGGCTGTTTATACAGTGCTATCAATGCACACGGCACTTCACAGTGTTCAAGAAAATCAGCCCCAAGGAGCCGAACAATCTGAATTTCAACCAAAACTGACCAAGCTGACCCCAGTAGTTTGTGGCCCCCCATGCAAAATACTTTTTGGGTCCTCCTGGTCCTATTCTTCTTAAACAGAGCCTTAGAGAATGTTACTGGTGCATAATCATGGATGAAATTAGGAGGGGGAAAGGCCCCTGATACTTCCATGGAGCACTTCTAATTTCTTATACGTGTAAAGTGCACACTAGCAGATTGCTCTGTGTATGCTTTAGGAAAAGGCCTTTGCACAGGTCCCTGGGTTCAATCCCAAGCATCAGTATCCAAAAACATCCCTGTTAAAAGGGCAGGGGAAACCTGTCTCAGACTGCAGGGCTATAACCCATCGAAAGTACTTAATTTAAACATGGGTTTAAATTAAATTAGACCTAGCAGTTTGAAAGCAAGAAATTGCAAGTAGATAAATAGGTACCACTTCGGTGGGAAGGTGTTCTGTGCGGTAGGAAGGGCTTTTCCTTCTCCAGTGTCATGTCAACCAAGCCTAATACTGGTCTAGCTGGGTGATGGGAAGGGCAAAGAGGAAAGTGAGAGATGTCCTGAACGAAGGATGGGTATTTATTTATTCACTCCATTTATACCACACCTTTCTCCCTAGTGGGGACCAAAGTGGGGTGCATCATTCCCATAGAATCATAGAATGTTAGAGTTGGAAGGGACCTTGCAGGTCATCTACTCCAACCCCCTGCACTCTGCAGGAGCATAGGCGAAGGATAGCCCTACAACATACCCAAAAGATGGTCGTCCAGCCTCCACTTGAAAACGTCCAGCGAAGGAGCATCCACCACTTCTTGAGGCAGTCTGTTCCACTGCTCAACCACTCTTACAGTTAGGAAGTTTCTCCTCATATTTAGCCAGTAACGACTCCCTTGTAATTTCCACCCATTAGACCTAGTCTCGCAATCCGGAGCAAGAGAGAATAGATCCGCTCTATCTTCTACATGACAGCCCTTCAAATACTCGAAGACTGCAATCATGTTCTCCTGTCTGTTTTATCTTCACCCCAGCCCTGTGAGATAGCTTAGCCTCAGACTACGTGACTGGCCCAAGGTCACCCAGCAGGTTTCCATGGCAGAGTGGGGATTTGAACCTGAGTCTCCCAGACCTTAGTCTGATGCTCTAACCACTATACAGTATTGGCTGTCTCACCATATTGGCATTCACTGGATATTCAATAAGTATATCGTATTTCCATTTTCAATGCTTGGCCTGAGGAAGGTTTGAATTATTTGCTTTAACAATCTGGGCTTCACTGAATTCATAAAACTATTTCATTTCATTAAGTTCCCACTGGCCTCAGTTCTCCCACACGTCAGGTTACCCAGACGTCACATTGGCTTCCAGCCATCACATTGGCTGGAAATACATTCAAGACTTTGCAGTCTTGGAAATTTTGAGTTGGCAGAAACTGAAATTACAAAATGGATTCAAAAACTCACCCAAACTGAAAAGTGACTTGTGAATGTGTTGCAGGCATTTGTTGGGATCCTCTTTTTGGGGTTGTGGGATTTGTCTTCCATGCGCTGGTGTCTGAAACAGTGGTTTTCAAACTGCCTTACGAGAAACCCTGGTGTCTTTTGGAAATGCATCAGGAATTCAAGGACAGTAGTAGTGGAGATGTTGCTTCCAGTGCTCACCTGTAGGGGGTGTTCAGTGAACCTAACATACCAAAACCAGCTTCGTCAGGTGAAGGGTTCATAGAATTCAGCATCCTGTTTCCCTCAGTGGTGACTAGGTGCCTCTGAGAACCACAAACAGACAGCTGTCTACCAGAAGAAGTCAACTCTGGCTCACAAAAGCTCATATTGAAATCAGTGTAGTCCTGAAGGTGCCACTGGAGTTCTGTTTTATGAAGGCCTCGGCCTTCTCTCACTGTTGACCTTTCACCCTCTGGCACTCAGAGGCGCACGGCCTCTGTACACAGCGGACCCATTTTCAGGGCAAGGGAAAACATTGGGAGAGGTCAGTTTGTTCATCTATCGTCTTGTTTCCAAGAGTGGCCAGCCAGGAGTCCTACTGGCAGGACACAAAGGTGGCTTTCCACTCAGGCAGGGCAAGAGCAGTTAGGGCCCTGCTTGAATGTTCCATGGAAAGCGCCTCTGACTCCTCTGCAGCATACCTGGGCCTGTGTGGCAGGGCTGAAGGGATTCACACAAGGGCACGTGGAAAAGGGTTCTCTGGAAGGTTGAAAGCCACTGATCTAAAGGAGTTTTGGGTGCTTCTGTCTGCTCGATGGGGCTTATCTGGAGGGTCTGTTGCATGTGGACATTTCCCTTTCACTTGTGTCTGTAAACCGTTGTGTTACAGTGTATTTCAACACGGCAGGTTGCTCGGAGCCCCTGGGCATGAAATCTTCCCTCATCTCTGACGAGCAGATCACAGCCTCCAGTGTTTACAAGACTTGGGGCATTGATGCTTTTACCTGGCATCCGCACTATGCCCGCCTTGACAAGACAGGCAAGACCAACGCCTGGTCTGCCCTTACCAATGGGCTGGGAGAGTGGCTTCAGGTATGTAGTTAAAAAAGGAACTTTAACCCAGTCTGTGTCAGTTGGAAGAAGAGTAGCTTGCCTCAAAAAGTAGCTTCTCTCAATCTGGGAAATGACTGTTTGTTTTGTTGAAATGTTCTAGGCATGTCCTGCTGCTGCTACGGGG